CAGTCCTTGGTTTGAATTTTCCTTTGATGTCCCAGATCTTATGAAACAGATCTCTTGTTCTTCCTTTTTTTTTTTGTTGTTGTCTTCTTTTTCTCTGCATTGGATGTTGTAGTAATTTTCCTTATTTTTCTGCATAAGCCATTGTACTATTGAATCCATAATTCTTAGTTTGTTCCTATCTCCTTTTTATTTTTCTTCTCTTTTCTTTATTGCTTGTAGTGTTTTTTCTCGTTCCTTTTGTTTACACAGGGTTTTAGGATATAGTGAGGTCATCATACTGAGAATGTAGAATGGGCAAAGGCACAAAGAGCAAACAATAATACAAAGCTAGTTGAACTCCAAATATTGATACTTTCATTACTTAGTATATAATGCCATATAAACACAGAATTATATTGTGGGCAGAATTAAAAAGAGTTGAGTGGCTTAACTGAACAGCCCAAGCAATCCTACATGGGGGGGGGGGAGGGAAAGAAGAAGTCCCATGGACATACCTGGCATCAGTAACAGTGAAATTGGTGTCATGTAGTGTTTGTGTCCTGAACAGGGTCATAGGAAATCCAGGTTCTAGTCTCCACTGAGCCATGAATCTCACTATTTAATAGCCTGATCTATCTCACAGAGTGGTTGTGAAGAGAAAATGGGGAAGAGAGAAGCCATATGTGGCACTCTATGCCACTGTGATCTCACTGGACAAATTGCTGGCTATACATGTATTAATAAATAAATAATAAGCTACTTGGCACCCTAGGACTCAGCAGTAGTGCAATTGCCACCCAACCCATTCACCCAAGGCCAGTTATTTTGGTACCTGAGGTAGAAAGTCCCACCAGCCCCTTTCCTCATTTCTGGCAATAAATAATACAATAGGAACAAAATATATCCCTCTTTGCTACCCTTTCATACTAGCCCAAATGTGTTGCCTAGTGCGGTCATCTCATACTTCTTAATGAAAGGGCTGGCCCTGGTAAGTTTTCCTCCAACGGTAGGAAAAACAAGGATAGATCTTTCTGCTTTATATTCAACCTTTTTAGTATGATGACCCCAGTATATCATGGTGTACTGCATATCCTGCCCCCTCTCTGTTTCAAATGCAAAAAAATAGAACCATCTAGAGAGTCTGTAACACTAAACACAAAAACTCACACACCACAAATTACATGTTGCTCATCGAGACAGCAATTAAAAGGACTTACAATAAAGCCTCTGTCACAGCATTAAATGTGTTCTATTTAAACTCTCCAAGAAACTGAACCTATAATTAATGCTCTCTTCAAACTGTGCACTTCACTGTCAAAGAAAAATGTGCCTCTTAATCATACTGTAATCATATTCTGGTGTGTGAAGTGGAAACATGACAGGCCAATCAATTTTTCAAAAATATTTAGAAAATGAGTGTAATTGTGGGGAGCCCAAGTAAATAAGGCCTTTACTGCCCACCACCTTTGCAGGAAAGAATTTGCATGTTGATTAATTATCTGTCCTTGGCAAAAGCCGCACCACACACAATCTCCAAAAGGAAACAAAAATGAACTGCAATAAAATGACAATACCAATATTCAAGATGATTGTTCTTTAATGCCAATGATTCCTGATATTTGTATAAAAGTTGGGAAAGGCTGGGGGAGAAGGAACATTTCATAATTAAGTGCTGAAAACAAAAGCTTGTGTACCTGACTAGAAGATTTCTTGGCAATACAGAGAGTCTGTGATTGTTGTTAAAGAGAGAAATGCCAGGTACGGATTGTATTTTTTCTTCTTCTTCTGGTGTATAAACTTGCTCTCTTAACCTGGAGTTTGTTGCTGTTGTGTCTTCAAGTCATTCTTGACCTATGGTGACCCTAAGGTGAAGCTATCATGGGGTTTTCTTGGGAAGTCATGACTCTCAAACTTGGGTTCAAAGTTTCCTTGACAATGGGCTTGTATCAGCTGGTGGCTCCCATTTCAGTGGGATGGTGAATCTGCTGCATATTTTAGCCTAATTTTTAAAGGAGCTATCCAAGATAATGAGCATGTCTCCAAAATAGATCACCACTTTGGATCTAAAACCCAGAATGGATTCACAACCATAAACTGCTATTGCCTTTAAGTGGCCTGCCAATTTAGGGTGGCCCTATGAATTTCAGAGAGCCAGTGTGGTGTAGTGGTTTGAGTGTTGGACTAAGACTCTGGAGACCAGGGTTCGAATCCTGGCTCAGCCATGGAAACCCACTGGGTGACTTTGGGCAAATCAAACTCTCTCATCCTCAGACGATAGCAATGGAAAACTCCCTCTGAAGAAACTTGTCAAGAAAACCCCATTATAGGTTAGAAATGACTTGAAGACACACGCTAACAACAACAAATTTCATAGGGTTTTCTTAGGCAATGAATACTCAGAGGTGGTTTGGCCAGTTCCATCCTCTGAAATATACAGCACCTGACATTCCCTGGTGGTTCATGATCCAAGTACTAACCTGACCTGACCCTGGTTAGCATTGAAGATCAAATGGGATCTTCATGGTATGCAAGACCTTTAAGCAGTAATAATTGAGGGAGCAACCACATTCTTTTCTCTGTGAGAAACTATGATCTACCTGATGAGTCTTATGTCTGCAGTGCCATTTGGACTGAATTTTGTAGCTGTTTGCATAAGAGTGATTTTATTATCTGCCCTGAGTGGGAAGGTGAGATGGATCAATGAATAGATAGTTAAAGATACTCCGTAGCATTAAAAAGTAATTGTAAACTACAACCCCACCTTCCCCTTACTGCATTTGTGACTGGGAGTGCTAACAAATGCTAGCCTTCTGGTAATATTGGCAAATAAATATTCTTTCTTTACTGTAAATCTCTTGCAGTTGCTCTTGGTAGTTATGAAAACTTTGTGGACTGTATGTCCATATGGTAAATGCAGAGAAGTTGTTCAGTGTTCAGCTTTTAGTATAATCTGTACAGGTGCTAACAATAGCACTGATGGGAAAGAGATTTTAGAATCTGATTTCTTCAAACTTTTAATGAGAAAGCTGAATCTAGCCAAGGCAGAGCTGTAAATCAGGGATGGGGAATGTATGTTGATAGATTTCATCCCCTATCATGTGCCCATCAGCTAGGAATGATCAGACACAAATACATCAGGGATGTAGTTATGGGGGGAATGAGATCATTGATCCCCAAACTAAGAATCTTGCCATGTAGGATGTATCTACAGTGGGGGAAAAAAAGCAATTTGACATCACTTTAGTGCCATGACTCAATGCTATAGAATTCTGGAATTTGTAGTTTTGTGAGATATTTAGCCTTCCCTGTCAGAGGATTTTGGTGCCCCACCAAACTACAAATCCAAATGTTCTATAGCATTGAGCCATGAAAGTTAAAGTAGTATCAAACTCCTTTATTTCTGCAGTGTGGCAGCAGACCCATCAGATGAAATTTTCATTCTGTTATCAAATTCCTCAAGTTACAGGGGGGGAAGCACTGAAAATCATTTACACCTAGAATTTTTCTTCTATTTATTGTGTGCAGATTCCCTTGGTAATTTTCCCCATCCTTTTTCTTTGGCTGCCTAAACTGTATTTTTAGATCCTCAGCTATAAGTTTTAAGTTATAGGTTATAGGTATAAAGGTTAATGAAGCAGATATGTTCCTAGACTTTATTTCTTTAACAGAAATGTTGGTACCAGAGGTAGAAATAGCATGGAAAGGGTAATGATAAGTTGCTATATCACACACACATACAAAAAAAGCATTTCAATATGTTTCAACAAATTAACTTTAAGCTCACATGAAATGAAATAACCAGGGCAGCTAAGCCTTGTATAGGTAAACAAAAACATTTTGAATCTTCTAGACACCACTTGAAAGCATCTTCCAAAATGCATCCCAGGATGAATTTCCCCCCTTTCAACAGCCTCCATTTTTCTTATGATTTTCATAGCAAAATTTATAGATCTATGCTTTTTCAACATGATCAGGGTAGCTGGTGAAGCAGGCTATTCTGCTTTCCCCTTTTCTTTCTATTATGCTCTTCACACATCTTCATTATCTGGAGGCAACTGTTTACCTTGCCTGTTGTATCTAACTACTCACAGTTAAAGTAGCAGAATTCTATTTTTCCCCAGGCCTAGCTTTTATTGTTTTTATTGTTTTTGTTTTTTACTGTAGACACACTGCTGCAATCCAATGATGAAAGTCTGTCTTTCTCCATCTTTCTTTCCCCATATCCCAATGCCAATGTTGGAAAAAAATTATTCTAGCTAGACAGAAGACAATAAAAGAGGGAGCTGGGCTGGGCTGGGATCCCATAAAAAGCCTTTGAAATTTGGGGACAGAAGGAAAATTTCATGGGGGGGGAGCCGAATTCTTATTGTGGGGCAATGCCTTAACCTTTTGATAGAGAAGATCCTCCAGCTTCTCCATCAACTCCTGATGACCACACATTTCCCATCCATGCTGGAAATTATTTTGGGCTAATTTTGAGAACTGACCAAATGGAAGGCTTCTGCCCTTTGATTCTGGCTGCTTATGACAACTGTAGCAACTTTGTAGCACTAGACATACAGCCTTCTGGTTGGTTTTCAGTTCTCTGGATTGGCTTGTAAAGATGTAGTGAAATATGAGGCAGTGTGCACAACCATCAGCAGCCATTCCACTTGGTTGCATTAGCAGGAAAGATGATCTGCAATATTGTGGCCTTCTACATTGGGTTGGCTGAGATTAACTGCGAATTGACCTCAATGACAAAGGCCATGGTCATTAGCTTGATCAATTAACAGTGTTAAATGGAGCATGTTCATAGAATCATAGAATTATATAGTTGGAAGAGATCACAAGGGCCATCCATTCCAACCCCATTCTTCCATGCAGGAACTCAAAGCATCCCTAACAGATGGCCATCCAGGCTCTGTTTAAAGACCTCCAAAGAAGGAGACTCCACCACACTCCGAGGGAGTGTGTTCCACTGTCAAACAGCTCTGTCAGGAAGTTCCTCCTAATGTTGAGGTGGAGTCTCTTTCTTCTCTTGTCTTCAATGTATTTCTGATCCATGTGAGTTTCTTATGCTTTCCTTTGTATTATATTCCTATTACAACTTGGGGCTGATTCGCACTACATAATTATAGTACCATTGTTCCATGTTAAGTGCCAGAGTTCTGTCCAAAAAAATTGCCTGGGATTTGGAATTCTCAGCCATTCTCCAATGCCTCACCAGACTACAAACCCCAGGATTCCACAAGATGGCAGTTAGTGGGAGAATAGCACTGTACTGTGATTGGGCTCCTTTTCTCTCAATTGCTTTGCATTAAAAGAAACATGAAAAATTCGTATTTCCTGCTACACATTTCATGAAGTAAAACATATTTTTTTTCTGCAATACATGTTAGTATGCATTTCATCTGTAAATATGCTTCCTGATATATATATATATATATATATATAGAGAGAGAGAGAGAGAGAGAGCTAGGATATAGAGGAGAAATGGCAAATGGGTATTGAAAAGTAAACATGTTCTGCTGTGCATATTACTCCAGAATAGAGATATGTGGATAGAAAAAAATTGGATTTGTTGAGGTTCTTCATTTTCACCTTAAAGTATATTTTGCTTGTGGTACATGTCATTCTATGATCTTCTTTATTTTCCCTCCCACATGGAATTATGTCCATATTTTTCAAAATGTACAGATATTTGTGTTTGTTTTAGAGTTTTATACATCTTTGTTTCATTGAAAAGGCATGCATGTGCTTATTTTAAAACCCTGGGTCCTTGACTTACCAGGAGCTTCCTTTTGTGGGCTACAGGAAGGCAAGTATGAAGAGGATTGCCATTTTCCCACACCAGTTAGCCCATTTTTTTCCCCCAAGATGGCCTAAGAAGTACAGGATGGCTGAAAATGGTAGAAAAGACCAGTCAATCTGGAGGCTGGTTGGCTGGCTGGAGGTGGGACTCTCTAGTGCAGATTTGCACAAGAAAGTCTTCAGTGCAGTCCTCCTGGAGAACATATAAGTGCTCCCTGCTTGGGATGCCAGACAGTATTTCTTCAATAATCTTAGGGAACTGGGTATATTTAGCCTGGAGAAGAGATGGTTAAGATTATTATTATTATTATTATTATTAGCTTTATTTATTAAGCACCATAGATGTACACGCTGCTGTACAAAACCAAATATAATTGAGAATATATAAAAAAGCCTGCCTGTGGCGTGCAATCTAAAAGTTAAAACAACAAATTAAAGCATCATAAAAAAGAAGTCAAAACATCAAATATCCAGTATTAAGTCACGCATGAGGAACAACCAGGT